ATACATATATATACACACATATATTTTACACTTGCCTTGGCAAAGTAATTGTGTGTTGGCATGAATTACGTTTGAAGAAACTTTTACTACTCATAAAATGATAACATATCTAACAACAACAGATCCTAAATGTTGAGGAAATGCGGGGATGATGAGGCTATTCTCCTGCCCCAAGAGACAACTATTTTGGGGTTGTGTTTGGAAAAGCATGCAGCATATTCTTTGGAGACAGATTTCTTTAATATGCCTTACTTTTTTTGGGTGGCCTACCAGAAGGAATAAAAGGAAATGACAGATATCTCCTGACAATGACTGTAGCAGCAATCACTCGTCAGTGGTTACAGACCGACCCACCTACAGTACATAACTGGCTCAAGTCACCAAAGAGATCTATGAGATAGAAAGACTGTCTTGAAAACCTGATCATAATTTAAAGAATAATCTACCTCTTGTAAAAACTATCTAATAATACATTTCCTTTACCAAATGGTATTTTTTGTTTTTCTTAAAGTTAACTTAAACATGAAAGCAACAAAATAAAGCTTTGGCTTTTCTTGTGTCATTTTGTGTCCTTTAATCCCTACTGCCTTATATTATGCAGACTGCATGTCATTTCACATCATAGAGAAAAAGATGTCAGGTGACGTTGTACAAAGAGCAATAAAGTCCACAGTTGGGGTAAATGGATAGGTCAAACAATCACATCACAAACACATTTACCCAGGAGACTGCTGTTTGTGTGAAGCTTCAAATGTGCTACAATATGCCGTCCCATGATATCGCGTTCATCTGATGGATTTTTCCATGAGATCACTGGCTACTTGCTGCATTTCTTCAAGAGGTGTCCCAGTGGATTCTTCCCTTGTAGCTTCATGGCATGATAGCTTTTCTATCATGTTTAACGTGCAATAAACCAAACCAGTTGTGTAACACTACACTGGAAAACCATTTTATGCTTCAGAGACACAAGTTGTGTTCGCATTCACCTTCAGCAAGCTATTATCATTACAGCCTCCAATGTACATAACAATCTGTCAAACCTAGCTCCCCCTGACAATAGCTGACTGGTGCACACAAATGAAAAAAGACTAATACCTTTCAGTTTCCGGACCCCTGTACAGCTCTGCATCCTGTGAATAAGTAAGGTGGTTACTTCCATCAGGGCATGTGTTTGTTTTTTAAACATTATCTGTGATCTGTCAGTCAAAAGCCAAACCCTATCTGACCTAAACTACTATTATCTACCCAACATGGCTCAATTGTGAATCAACAGCAGATGAACAGCCCCTCAGAAGTTTCCTTCTTTGCTGAAGGCTGCACTCTGATGCTAATTATTTCAGCTGATACAATTTAAAATGTGCAACGTAGGGATGGTCAGATTCACCAACTTACTTTGGTGCACTGGCATAAAAAGTTTAAGATGAGATTGCAAGCTGCTGAAGACATAAAATCAAACTATCCTTGCCATAAAGAAGTGCATAGCATTGTATTCTTTCGCATCACATTGTGTTGAATTAAATTGTGTCACTGCATGCAGTCCGTACAATGTAATGTATATTTATTTTCTTTCTGAGGACAGTGTGTGCAGTACAGTGGTAAGGATGGAGAGAAACCCCTTCAGAGCTTTGTCATCTCTTGGTTGCTGCTTAAGAGTCACTTTCAGTTCCTCCTCTTCGCCTTCTTTTCTCATCGACACTCTAACTCTCTGCCCGTCAGCTGTGGCTTCCTCTTCCACCTGCTCCTCCTCCCCTCCCTCCACCGCCAACTCTCTGTCACACACACCTTTCTTTAATACCGCTCTCTGATTTGCCTCTCCAGTGTACAGCAGCTCCCCCAGTATGAGTGTGATGTGGGGTGTATCGCCAGCATGCTGGGTGTGTGTGTAGAGGTAGACCCTCCAGGGGAGTGTGTGCGGTGGAGTGAAGGCCAGAGTCTGGATGTTGACCAGCTGCATCGCAGCCTGAAGGCTTTGTGGTGAACAGTGAGGTATTGCGGGGAACTGGATCTGTTCTTCCAAGCACATATAATCCTCCTCCATTTTCTCATCACCTAGAAACAAGCAGCAAAGTCAGAGGAACTAATGTCAGATAGGCAAAACTTCAATCAACCACAATTCCTGTCCCACAAAGAGTAGGCTTGCAGCATTGAAAGAATCTCCTTCCATTTAATTACCTTGCTCAGTAGGCAAAACCTGTCGCTGCAGCCACAGGCGCTCAAACTCCTCTGGGCTGAGAGCTGGGGAGAGGGACAAACTGAGGGGGGCCGCGACGCTGGAAGCTGGGACATCAGCTGAAGAGTTTGTGCATCGACTGGCGCTGACTGAGCCTGGAGGACAAAGGGGCAAAGAAGGGGAGGACGCAGGGGAGAGGATAGGGGAGAAGGGGAAAGGAGGGAGGATAAGGATGCAGCAACAGGGAGGCGAATAGGGGACAGAGGGAAGGAGGCGAACAGAGAGGGAGGATGAGATTGAAGTGGGAAGTGGGAGGGAGAGACCTAGGATGAGTGCCAGGTTAAGAGAATTGTGATCAAAAATGACACTGCATTCCCAGAAATGGACCTTAACCTTGGGGAAAAAGGCTTTCTCAGTCTTTGACCAAAATAGCACAACAGCTTTAGCCATAGGGATGCATTTAAAGACATTTCTGACCCTCTCAGTAGTATCACAGTGCTTTTTTAAACAAATGCGTTTATTCTCAAAACCTTTGAAAAAGGTTGGCCATACAACATTTTAAAAAGTTCTCCACATCTTCTCAAAGGAGTATTATGTCTTAATAATACATTTTAATACTTTTTTCAAGCCAGAAGTTTAGCTTTAGTCTATTAACTGATTTCCCAACCTGGGCTATACTAGGTTTTGCTTATAATAAAGAGAAGGTAGTCAGACGAGAAGTTAAGTGCTATTGCATTGCTATTAACGTTGCTGTTATTTACTGACAAACTGGGAGAGAACACAAGTTTACCTGACTACTGTTCCACAATTTACCCTCATGGCGTTTTTACTCATTTTCTGACTCTCATCTAAGAGAGAGAGGCGGAGCCCTTGCAAATGTGCTGGGCCCTGCACAGCGTGCGTAGCGTGCATATAGGGCTGACAGCCTGTGATCATAAACCTCTGGTCAGAGACCTTGGACAATTGTCAGCCCAAAGAATACTATAATTTATTTTAAAATCAGTTAAATTGACTTTTTGCAATTAATTGTCAAGAAATGTAAATTACAAGTATTTACAGACTTTATCTAGTACTTCAAGGCAGGTATCTGATTCTGGAGAATATGATATTTGAACTCAACAGCCAAACAAATATATCCATCCCTTCAGTGCTCCTTCAGAAGCTCTGCCCCCAAAGTTCATGGATTTGCATTGCAAAGGCATTTCCACTAGCAACAATCAGTGAGTGTGTCTTTCTCAAAGCTGAAACAAAGCAAACACAATGTCCAACGAATGTTGTGCAAGCACACAAACACAGCATTCAAAAAACAACTAAGTAAGAACTGTTTTTACTCAGTTGTGTGAGCAGCTGCTGTCAGACTCTCCGAATAAGGTGTCCGCACTGGAGCTTTTACAGTCAGTAGAAGCACTTTCACAGCTGTTTGTAGTTTGTTTCTGTGAGGTACCTGTGTGCTTCCTAGCTAGAATATCAAGTTAGTGTTGTGTGGCTTGGTCTGAATGTCTGCTGCAATTAAAGGTTTATCAGTAACTTTCACCAGTGCTGTCTCTGTGCTATGATGTACTCTAAATCCAGAGTGATAATCCTCAAACAACCTATGGTTATATAGAGAATCACAACTGGCCGGTGACTGCTTTCTTGAGCTGTGATCACAGCCAGTGGCTATGTCTACAGTCAGAGCTCGGCTTTCCTCCAATCAAAGGGGTCCTGCGTCTCTCAGACAAACTAGTGAAGGCACAGCTGTGGTTTCAAAAGGGAGAGTCTCTTGTTAATGAAAGAATATTGGCAAGAAATACATTAGCATAAGAAGGACTGCCATGTAATGTGGAAAGGAAAAAAACAAACTCAAAGCTGGCCAGATAAGCAACGTAATCTCCATCATGTTCTGTGAAGCATAGCTGAACCCATGAGAGAGCGATGCTAAATTACTAACATCAGTAGATTCAGCTACGGTGACAGCTAGGGATGTCACAAGAACCGATAATTCGGTACAAAGTCCGAATTTTGAAAGAAAAAAAAAGGCCCGCAAACAAAAAAGAAAGAGTAATCTATTAATGTACTCTGCACAAAAGATGTAGAGACGAGGAAAATAAACATTCAGCAGAATCCAGTTCAGTTAGGTAACTCAGGTAAAGGATGCACTGAAGCAACAAATTGCACTTTTAAAGGGAGACCGAAATTCCCTCTAGACAGTGACAAGAGCAAAAAAGATTATAGAGGGTTTGATTACTTTGTTTATTAGTTACTTAGGATAAAACAATATATATTAATATTAATTTATTAAGTATATAAAAACATGAAGGAAAATGTTTCCCTAATGCAATGCAGAGCTATTCAGCTGTATTATTAAGGCAAATACAAGTATTGATAATTTAATTAGACATTTTTACCATGGTATTGAGAATCATGGGATTTCACTGGCATTGGTATCGACCACTAAATTTCTAGTATCGTGATCCCTTAAAAACAGCAACCAGCTTTAAGCAGGGCTGAAACACTGTTATTTAATAATCTTGAATGTTTGTTAACTCACATTACGTCTTAACTGAGCTTTCTGCTTGGCCAGACAGACAATAGCCAATAATTGATTGATTCAGTCTCATAATATACACCAAACAATTATTTTAGAAATCAGATTAATAATAATAATAATAATAATAATAACCAAAATCACCATAAATAGTTTAAGTGGAAGGCTTTGGAGTTCTGCATAGAAAAGGTTGGTATCACCCACTCTTGTATGAAATTAAATAGGCCAGCATGTATAAACACAAGCAGTTATTAAAAGGATAAGAAAAGGGTAACGAAGCTAAAGAAAAAAGGGGTGTGTGTGTCTGTGTGAGTACACGCCAGAAAAGGTGTGTGTCCTGTCCTCTAACCAAAGCTACATTCCAAGTCTCTTATTTGACATTTCCTCACTCCTCGATTCTCGCTTGAACTGGAAGTTGTTCTGGTCCGCCATTTTGCAGGACGTCCCAAAGCGCTCAATTCAAATATTCATTCTTAGAAATACTCTACAGCACATTCACTGAAGGACATGCCACTGTGTAAGATAGACTATGGAAATATTTTCACTGTGTTCACTCACCTGAAGGAACCTTCTCAACTTGGCTACAGTTCAGTGTGTCTGAGAGGTCAGTGTTAGGCTTGGGCTCAAAGGTCACATGTTCAGGGCTTCCTCTGCTGGTTGACTCTGTCTCTACTGTGCCCTGCCTCAGGGGCTCCAGAGTGTTAAAGCTGCACGCCCACTGGCTGATGGGCTCCGCGGGGCGGCCAATCAGAACACCCAGGGAAGGGTCTGACCTTCGTCCCTGGAGGACCTTTTGTGTTTCTTCTATCCCAAAATGCAACAGGCGGTAGTAGAGAAGCGCCTGGTCACGTACACACATGTCCGGCTCCTCCTCTGGAAAAAACAAAAGTGTTGAGAAAGTCATCTCTTTTACTCCGTTTCTCTCTCTCTCTCTCTCTCTCTCTCTCTCCCTCTCACACACACACACACCTATGCAGTAGTGCAGCAGTCTTCCAAGCATATCTTGTGTCTCAGCAGGTCTGCACAAAAACAGCCTCATGGTGGTCGTCAGCAGCTCCATCTTGACTCCCAGAGAGACCTCGCTCCTAACTCCATCGATGAACACCTCCAATGTGTAGGGGGCACTGGAGACTTGTTCGCCATACACACCCAGCAACCACAGCAAGGCCTGCCTGCCCTAATGCAGGATGAGGAGAATGAGCAGAGGATTTAGACTCAATTTAAAGGCCCTGGACACCCACTGAGATGTTTTGAGTTACTCAAGAATGATGTGCACTGAGTCTTTGACCACTTGTAGCATGCATGGTGACGTGTGTGACACAGTCATGCCGATGGTTTCATGCTGATCAACATGTTTTACTTTACTTAAGTAAAGATCTGAATGCATCTTCTACCGCTGCAGACTGAGGCAGACAAACAACTGCCAAAGGAGCAACAAAGTGGTAGAAACATGCATACACATAACTACATTATAACCATATTAAGGCCATGCTTGAATGTAAACATCTTAATTGAGTTGTTGCAATTAATGTCAAAATCAGAGGAAGTATAGCAGGATTAACAGATATATACTGCTGATGTATACGACAAGCCCTAGTCTGGTTTTGTTTTGAAAATCATAAAGGTCATGCTGTTAAACCAAATGCAAAGTGATGTTTCCATATGCAAACACATGCAGAGCAGTTGGTGGTGGAAGAAGATAACACAGTGTATGATTTTTTGGTTCACAGGAAAACAGCTTTCATGTTAAGCTGGAGATATACTTGCTTTTTAACCACATGTTCACAACATTAAAAGCGAGCTTACAACTAAAAATAATTGTGTTAATTTGTTGTTCTAAAAAGGATGAGAACAACTAAGCCTCTGGGCAGGATGGACTTTAAAGCACATTTATTTTGCCTCATGATTGTGGTTAGATTACATTTGCATGAGTTAACGTATAGCCTCAGATTATAATAATAAAAACAGTAGCCTATATTGTGCTGCGGAGGCCTGCGGGGTGGACTGTGTGATCCCTGCACTCCCTCCCACACTCGGCGCTGGTTCTGTGCCGGGTGGACCGGCTCTGGCCCAGTTGAAGACCCTATTACACAGATGACGATCTATTTATCAATTCCATACTATCATAACACTTATAGCTATTAATATTATTATTTATCCCTTCAATTTTATCATTAATTATTATTTGGCTCATTCACCTAACTCTGTATATATCTGATTTACACTCCTACATTGGTGTGTGTGTTTGTGTTTAGATGTGTGTGGGTGTGTTCGTTTCAGCTATGCAATTTTTCTCTCTCTCTTTAATTGTTTGGGTAGAGGTACAGTCTGTAGGTATTGTAGGTGCAGGAGTTTGGATTTATTGTTAATCTGTTTTTGGTGTTTCTCTGGATATTTGGTGGACTGATGCGTGGTTACCTCTTAAAAGTTCCTATGTAGTCAAAGTTATTGAAAGCTTGGAGGTTGGATTGATTTAGAAAAAATAATAAATTGTATGCACCCGTGTTAATTTGTGCTAATTGGACATATTCTTGTTTAATTCGGAGCCATTTTTGGCCAAACCCACTCTTATTCAAACTTTTTTTTAGTATGATTTTGTATGGCTTCCACCTTGGTTAGGACTCTCTTGTAAAATAAAAATTTGATCTCAATGGGAAAAAGAAAGCTCATCCTCAGACACTTCTTTTGGTCAGGGTTAAAAACGGATATTGCTAAGTACTGCCGCAGTTGCCATGTTTGCCAGCCCACAGGCAAGCCGAACCAAATGATCCATCCGGCCCACTGCAGCCCATCCCCGCAATAGGAGAGCCGTTTGAGCGGGTAGTTGAGCGTGTTGGATATCTTGCCCCAAACCAAAAGAAGAAATTAGTATTTACCATCATCTGCGCTGCCAGTCGTTTCCCCGAAGCTGTTCCACTCGTTAAATAACAGCCAGCTTTAACAATTTGTTTCTCCACATGCGGCCACACAATCCAAACTGATCAAGACACAGGTCCTCGAAAGTGTAAACGTACGTCCTAGTGTTTCCAGCACGTATCATCCTGACACTCATCAGAACAGTAGGACCAAGTGTCATTGGCACTCCGGGAAGACGCGAAGAAGTGTGTGCGTCACGCACCTGTTAAAAACAAGCTCTTCCAGAGAACCACCCAAAGCTAGTCCCATTCTGATGTTACAATAGGTTCACAGCGCGTCAGATCCGTCAAGCGCAGAGCACCTCCTATAATAATATACAGTGGGTACGGAAAGTATTCAGACCCCTTTAAATTTTTCACTCTTTGTTTCATTGCAGCCATTTGCTAAAATCAAAAAAGTTCATTTTATTTCTCATTAATGTACTCAGCACCCCATCTT